CCTGAGTGCTGGGGCTGCGGGCGCCCTGGACATCGCAGAGGTGACCGCAGCTGCCCAGCGTTCGGTAGGAAGTGCTCCAAGTGCGGTAAGACCAACCACTTTGCCCAGCACTGCGGTGCTAGTGTGGTTTCTAGTGTCCAGGTGCTAGCTGTTGGGGCTAGTGCCGTGCCGCTGACCCTTGATGCTGAGGTAGAGGGGCTCAAGGTAACTTTCACTGTGGACTCAGGGTCTCCAGTTTCCATCCTGCCGAGGGACTCTGTGCAGGGTGATCTCGGGGCAGCCGAGGAGAGCCTTTGTGCCTACGGGGGGAGCGTGCTAAATGTGCTGGGGGTGAAAAGTGTTCATGTGTCATGCCGGGGGAAAACCGAGTTGGTCAAAGTGTATGTTGTGCCGTCAGGACGCGCTCTGATGGGCCTTGACCTGATGGAAGTGTTTGATGTTTGTATTGTGGGCAACCGTGTGTGCAGTGTGTCCACCAACCCCACCTGTGTGTCCTCTCCTGAGCCTGCCCAACCCACCAGCCCACCTGACGAGCTACCAGCCTCTCCGGGGGCCCAACCCGCTATCCTGGGGTACCAGCACCGAGTGACAGTTGACCCAGGGGTACCACCAGTGCGCCAGCCACTGCGCCGCCTGCCTTTGGCTGTGCTGGACGCAGTGAGTGCCCGGATTGATGAGCTGGAGGCCCAGGGTGTGATTGAGAAGGTGAGCGCGTCTCCCTGGATCTCACCGCTGGTCGTTGGCAGGAAACGGGACGGTGCCATCCGCCTCTGCGTTGACATGAGGAGGGTGAACCAGGCGGTCATCACGGATGGTCATCCTCTCCCGAGGATTGAGGACGTTCTCGATCGGCTCCGTGGTTCGCTGATGTTCTCCAGGCTGGACCTGAAGGACGCGTACCACCAGCTGGAGCTGCATCCCGACAGCCAGAACCTGACCACGTTTGTCAGCCACAAGGGTTTGTACCGGTTCCGCCGTGTAAACTTTGGTCTGGCGAGTGCCGGCCCTTGTTTTCAGAGGGTGATGACGTCGATGCTGGAGGGCATCCCCGGGGTGGAGGTGTACCTCGACGACATCATCATCCACGCACCGTCCCAGGCGGAGCATGACGCTCGCCTGAAGCAGGTGCTGCGGCGGTTGGAGGACCACCGTGTGAAAGTGAACTGGTCCAAGAGTGCCACCGGCTGCCGTGACATTGATTTCCTCGGTTACAGGATCTCAGCGGCCGGTGTGCAGATCGACCCAGGGCGGATCAGTCCGCTGCTGGAGGCTCCAGAGCCACAGGACGAGAAGGGCCTCCGCGCCTTCCTGGGAGCCACGGGCTACCACGCCCGTTTCATGCCGCGGTACTCGGACCTGGTCGAGCCGCTGCGAGCTGCGCTGCGCGCTGACAAGTTCGAGTGGTCGCCGGCGCTGTCCAGCGCCGTCCAGCGCGTCAAGGACGCCATCCGTCAGTCACCGGCGCTGGGTATGTTCGACCCCGCGCTCGCCACGGTGCTGACGACCGACGCCAGCGACGTCGGAGCAGGCGCGTGTGTGACGCAGATCGACGCCTCGGGGTCGCCCAGGGTCATCGTGTACGCGTCTAAGTCGTTCTCTCCGGCCGAGCGTAACTACTCCACTGTGGAGAAGGAGGCGCTGGCCGTGGTGTGGGCCTGTGAGAAGTTTCGCCACTATCTCTGGGGGCGGAAATTCACTCTGCGCACGGATCATCAGGCTCTGTGTACCATTTTCGGTCCCAAGGGTTCCACGCGCGTCGGGCGGCGTGTCGCGCGGTGGGAGGCCCGCCTGCTCGAGTTTTCTTTCGACGTTGAGTACGTCCGCTCGGAGCGGAACACCGTGGCCGACGGCCTGTCACGGCTGCCGGTAGCCGAGACCTGGTGGCCGGATGATGACGATCTCCAGATTGCAGCTCTGACGGTGGCCGCAGCCATCTCTGAGGAGGAGCTCAGTGACGCCTCGGCGGCCGACGAGTGTCTCAGCGTCGTCCGTGGGTACGTGTCCGGGCAGTGGCCCCGCCAGAGGGACGTTGACCCCCGAGCAGCTGGTTTCTTTCAGGTACGGGACGAGCTGTCCGTACACGGCCAGCTGCTGCTCCGCGGTGACCGGCTGGTGGTGCCAGCGGCGCTGCGCGAGCGCGTTCTGACTAACGCGCACGCGGGCCACCAGGGGGTGGTCCGCACAAAACAGCGGCTTCGTGAGCGTTTCTGGTGGCCGCGCCTGGACCGGCAGGTGCGTGACCTGCTGAAGAGCTGTGAGGTCTGCTCTCAGCACGATGGGCACGTGCGGAGGGAGAGGCCGCCCCTCCAGCCCATCCCACTCCCAGATGGACCGTGGCAGCGCCTCATGGTGGACGTGATCGGTCCCATGAGAGGTCCGTCGTCTGAGCGCTACGGCATTGTGCTCGTCGATATGTACAGCCGGTGGCCGGAGGTCGCGCTCTGCCAGGACGCGACGGCAGACAGTATCTGCCAGTTCCTGGAGACAGTGTTCGCTCGCGAAGGTGTGCCGCTGGAGCTACTGTCAGATAACGGCCCTGCGTTCCGGTCGGGCCGACTCGCCGAGTTTTTGGGTCGCATGGGCGTCAAACAGACGTTTAGTTCGCCCTATTCGCCGCAGACCAACGGCATGGTCGAGCGGCTGAACCGGACGGTTAAGGAAGCCATCCAGTCGGCTCGCCTGGCGAGGGAGCCGCGCTCGACGTTTGTCAGAAAGTTCCTGGGTGAGTACCGGGTCACGGTCCACCCGGCGACCGGAGTGTCGCCCTTTGTTTTGATGAGGGGGCGGGAGGCGCGGACGATTCTCGATGTGACCCCGTCCGATGTGACCCCGTCCGGCCGTGCTGCCGAGGATCGAGCTGTCCGGCAGCATCACCAGTCGTACCAGGAGACCTACAGGGCCCGGTATGACCGCACCGCCACGGCCGCCCCGCGATGGGAAGCTGGCGACTGGGTGCGAGTACGGAAGCCCGGGACGGGCCGGGTCGAGGGGCAGCGCTCTGTGCAGGTGAGCCGCAGGACCGGTCCGGTCAGCTACAGGCTGGCCACAGGTGAGCGGGTGCATGCCAGGCGCCTGGTACCGGGCCGCCCGGGGGAAGCTGATGGCGAGGTGCCGGTGACCTTTTACCCAGTCGGGGGCGAGCCCGAGCCTACTGACCCAGCCCCTGTGACCGTGGACCCCGCTCCTACCGATGATGTGTGTCCCGAGCCGCCCAGGGGTACCAGTCCTGTCCCAGCGGCGCCAGTCGGTGCCGCCCCTGACGAGCATGCGGCCCCGCGCCGCAGCCGTAGGGTGCGTAGGCCGCGGAAGCGTTTCTCGCCGTAGGTTAGGCGAGTTTGCGCGTGTACAGTTTAGCTCAGCACCGTACCTGTGCCTGGGGGTTTTCATAGGGTGTGTTTTCCCTCAAAGAGAGGGGTGGTGTTGTGTCGTGAATTTAGTTGCGCTGTTCAGTGTTCGTATCAGCTGCGCCAGAATTGTGCGAGGTTGCTTTGTTATTTTTAGGGAAGACCCAAGTCGTGTCAGCTGATTGCAAATTCCGAACCGGCGCCAAGGTGATTTGTAAAATGTAGACGTTTCATGCCCACGCGTTGTAGTCGTGCTTAGTTTCTTATTTGATAGGCACTACGATTGTAAGGACGCTCACCGCCCTCTCGTCTCGTGTTTAGTCACCGGCATCGGCCCACTACTAAGTCCGGGGTGGACTTCCGGTAATGGCGGCGTAGGCGTTGGTCGCGTGGTTTTTTGGTATCTTGTTGTGCGGCGGCCAGAATACATGTCCGGCAGTTCCGGTGATCGTTTTCGGCCGCCCGCCTCTCACGAGGCCACTGTGAAGAGGCAACACAACACCCTGACACCATGATTTTTTTTTTGAAACTAAAGAAAAAATAATAGGCCATCCGACCCATGCTTTTATATTAGTTTGAAGCCTCCTCACATTGCCCCACCAGACAGTAATAATCACACTTATCGGTGAGACAGACCACCAATCTGCGCCTACGTACGAACACCACGGGATCCTGCTTCATTACAATTAGAAGCAGGCCGTAACCAGTCGAAGTCAGTGAGGGGACCGGCCGTGCGCGGCCATGTGCATACGTAAAACTTTGGGCTCTAAATTCTACCATAGATCAGGAATTGCGCGGTCGGAGGATAGAGGGCAGGGCCAACGCAACAAGCTCTGCTTAGCGGGGGCTCTGTCCTTGTGAATCCTTCCATTCAAAAGATTCGTACTAAATTTATAAAAAAGAATATCCGAGACACGGAATTGGGCGCCTGAAAAGACGACAAGTAACATATTGCTGAGCGACAAAAATGGTTAAGGTCAGGTAAACAAAATAAACAATTGATAACAGGCCTAAGTAATCGGGTAGGTACCAATGTGCTCACATTACATCCATGTTTCGTTTACACATTTGCTTTTATGTGCACTGACGCCTTGAACTAAAAATTCGTTTGCCTTTTGGCTATTGCCGGCCCCCCCAGTAGTGACTTTTTGCCCTGACTGGGGGGGCCAGGCCGATGACTGCGGGGGTTTGGCCCCCCCAGTTAACATGTTAGACGAGGCCTTGCTCTCCATTCAATACCTTTGTTCATTCTGCTAGCGAGGCGAGACATCAAGAGGTCTACACTTTGCCCCCTACAATAAGCTCAATAAGTCTAACTTATTCATAGAATAAAATATATGGCACCGATAGCTCTCTCGTTTATCGTGTTCCGCTATTTGATAGAGCCACTTGGAGCCTGATAGCAGGGCAATTCGCGTGCGATGAAATCCCAGACCCCGCAGTCTGGGACACGAAAATAATGTGGTACTTACAGCCGGCCGACGTGCCAGAATATTCAGCCAACTTATATCGCAATGTCTCAAGCCGAAATTGGCACCTAAGTATGATCTATATCAGTGTGGCACAGGCGTAGTTCATTTCGATAATGTTAGGACTTCTATAAAGCAGTGAACCAAAGGCAAAAGCTATTACCGAGCCGATCTGTAAAGAGCGTCATTCTGGCTCCATTTATTGAACAAAATAAATCAGCGCGTTATTTAGCAGATCAAAACAGACTGGCAGGTCACGGTGGAGGTGCATATATGGTAGATACGCACACTCAGTTCAGGTAATGCAGCGATGGATTACAACGGTTCCATAGCAGAGCATAGTTGAAAACTGGCAATGATTTAGCTGAGGCCCGTTTGCAATCTGGTGCCTAGCGTAGTAAAGGTAGCAGAGTTGAGCTCAAGTCTAGCACACGACGCAAGTCGGTAGTGACCACGAGACAAAACTTTCAATCCACCATCCACCGCCGCCTCCGCGGACCGACAAGAGGCACGGGGTGATGCACACTACGTATAATGTGGAAGCACCATACAGCTGAACCATAGCGCAGAAAAACTATCCATCGAAAGCTACACACCAAAAATAATCTCCATACAAAACCAGCGTTGTTGCTCGGCTCTACGACATAGGATCACAACATGCCCACTGACGTGAAATGCACCCAGCTCTCCAGAAACTCCAGTTAATTCCAGCACCCATACACCTATCCACATCGTACCAACGACACTATACCGTCCCGATAAAGCACCTTAAGCCCGTATGAGCACGAATCGCATTGCACGCTGATAACGTACAATCCTGACCCTTACCTAACGCTACAAGTACAAATTCCTGGACAAGACGCCACACCACACACCGGTTACATAAGACCCGATACCAGCATCACATCGTGAACCGTACTCACAAGGCCCTGATGAGTTGTGCATTCTGGCATAATCAACTGCACCAACAGTCCAACTACGCAACAAAGATGCTACAAGCTGTAATAGCAAGGCATTTATCAATCAACTGTCATGGCAGTGCTATAGGACGCTGACATTTTGAAAGCACCACTGCAGATTAAAACGTGTTAACAATCATAAATTCTCAAACACGTATTTAATCAACAGTCCGGCGATCGCGCGGCATGCATGTGACGCACGCGGTCAGGTGAGTGAGGATTAAACAACTTTCTACCGACTACCGTGACCCAGCTCCAGCACCAGCCGGCCGATTCACAACAGATGTATCCTCATGTCGCGAGTCATGCCACCACATGGTAACAACTGGAGATAATGGCAGAAACTGGTAAAATAAGGACACCAAGCGATTAACCTACATTCCACTAGCCCACTGACTCATTGCAATCGTCAGCTCCTCAATGACTGTAATGGATCCGAATGTACGTCTAGAAATAGCAATTTGTCAAAAATTCATCGACTGCACTGGCTAATAGGTATATGCTAATGAAGGTCGAATGCGGTCAGAATCATCCCGAGTACCAAGTGATAAGATACTGGTAAACTGGTAAAGCTGGTATTGATGACTGCCTAAGATTTCAAGAGTCATCCTCCCTCTACAGGGGCTATTGATCGATGTCACCGCTCAGTACTCACTCGATCTTTGACGGGCTGACCCAGCCGCCGGCCAGCCGCTCGAGCTCGGAGGCCACTGCCAGGCTGAGATGGTCGCGGCCGCGGCCGGCTACCACCTGCAGGCCGACCGGCACGCCCCACGAGCCCAGGCCCAGCGGCACCTGCGTCACAGGCAGCTCCAGCACGTTGAAGATGGAGGTGTAGGCGAAGTTGAAGCCCTTGAAGAGCGGCTGGATGTGGTAGGGCGCCGGCGTCGGGTGGGTCGGGTAGAGCAGCACGCCGTCCTCGCCGAGCGCCGTCTCCAGCTCGAGTTTGAGCGTCTCGCAGAGCCGCAGGCAGCGGCGGCCGTGCTCCGAGTCGGGCGACAGGCCGTGCTCGGTCAGCGCCAGCACGATGGCCGGCAGCGTGTGCTCCGACAGCATCAGACACCACTTGATCAGCTCCCAGCCAGGCCGGATGGCGCCGCGACGCTCGCGCAGCTCGGCCGCGAACGGCGGCGCCTCCGTCACGGCGGCCATCTTGTGCGCCCAGATCTCCAGCTGGTGGAACATGGACCGCAGTCGGAGCGGTCGCACGCGCACGCCGTGGGCGGCCTCCAGCAGGCGGGCGGCGCGACGCATCGCGCTGCGGATGTCGCCGTGTACGGGACTGGCCAACGGGAAGCCGCCGTCGTCCTCTGCCAGGAAGTAGCGCAGGTGGGCGGCGCGCGCCGGCCGGTCCAGGCTCAGCTGGTGGGCGGCCGGCGCGGCGATGACCCGGTACAGCGGCAGCAGGTCACCGGCGTGCCGGCACATCGGGCCCGTCACCAGGAACGTGTTCAGCTCGCCGGTGGCCAGAGGCAGCTGACCCACGTTCGACACCACGTTCGACGTCGGTTTGTGGCCGAAGATGCCGTTGAAGAAGCACGGCATGCGGATGGAGCCGCCGATGTCGGAGCCGAGGCCGAACGGGCTGCCGGCGGCGGCCAGCAGCGCCGCCTCGCCGCCGCTGCTGCCGCCCGTGATGCGGCTCGTCACGTACGGGTTGCACGAGCGGCCATAGATGCGGTTGGAGGTCTCCCACCACATGCACAGCTCGGGCACGTTGGTGTGCGCCAGCGGGATGGCGCCGGCGCGGCGCAGCAGCCGCACCGCCTCGGCGTCCTCGTCGGCCACCACGTCCCGGCGCGCCCACAGCCCGACCGTGTGCCGCATCCCGGCGATGGCGATCGAGTCCTTGGCGGTGAATGGCACGCCCAGGAAGGGCGTGTCGCGCTCGAGGTCGGCCTCAGAGCGGGTGCCGCTGGCCACCAGCGCATCGGCGGCACGTGCCTCCTCCAGCGCTGCCTCAAACCGGTGCTCAGTGACGCAGTTGAGCACTGGGTTCACCTGTTCTATGCGCTCCATGAACGAGCGCACCACCTCCTCACTGCGCAGGTGGCCCTGACGGATCTTCAGTGCAAGGCTGGCCGTGCTCTCAAGCAGCACCAGATCACGGATTGGTGGCAGTGGCTCAGTGCGATTATTGTAGACCAGTCCAAAAACCAGATCAGAGAACATTCCCACCAAGCGGTAGAGCAGTTTTAGGATGTGTCCCATCCATACCTCGCCACGTGAATAGTCAAAGGCATATGGCGCCACCTTAGAGGAAGATTTGATTGCCATTTGGGGAGGATGGAGGACAAGAGTGGCAACAAGAGGAACCAAAACACTTACTGGGTTGTGGGTAGCAGGTAGCTTCAATGAGATGAAAAACAGCAGGTAGAGTGGACTTCAGTGCCTCCAGAGGTATTTACTGCATGGTTCCTGAAATAAATAAAGGTAGACAATTTATTAATATATGGAAAATACACTAAAAATTAATCATGTATCAGGAACCTGCAGATTTGGAAAGGACTTCTTGGTTCTTATATTCACACTCAACAGAAATTACAATTATTAACATAAATTGTTGGGTAACGGTAGCGCTGGCTTACACCTTCTCCGCTGGCGCCAAGGTTGAAACTAATCAAGGTCACGTTTATTGTGGGGGTTCATATGGCAGATGGCTCATGGCTGCCTTGGACCGGCTTGGCCTTGTTGTGTTAACTTAAAAGTGCAACTCACGGTCATAGATACTAGTGCAACTGGGTCTGGAACTGCTCAATGGAACCGACAGTGTCAGTGTAATTTTTACCACAGTGTATATAAATAACTTTTACCAGACAAATCCACACTCCACGGTGAATAAAAACTAATTATTAATACAAGTCATACCTTGCGCAAAATATGCCCAACCAATCGAATTTCGAAAAGCAACACAAGAAAATCGCTTCGAAAAAGAATAATTCGAAAGAAAACATGTCGATATCAAGGTCTGTAATTTCCACTTCATCAAGTTCTTTTCCCCAGACTTGAATCAATGACGTCATTGACAGTGCGAAAGTTTCCACGTTTCCACTGGCCGCAAACGGTTTTATAGCCTTGCCGCAAACGCACTACGGATGCATCTCACGCATTACATATAAAGAAATTATCGTGTCACACAACCGCTAATTGTACATTTTTCTCGTTTGATCTCTTTTCTGCTGATGTCTGGCAGTTGACGGAACCAGACAGAACCTTCCGTTCATCCCAATGGAGGTGTCGCTGCAGGCCAAACCTTGGCCAAACCGGCGTTCAACGGTCAACCTATGTACATACATACTGACCGCGGGTTCGGGTCGCTTCGGTGCTTCTTGAAGCTTCCACGGTACACATATGATTTTCTGAACAAAACACGAATCAGACGTCACACCAAACCACGGTTACCGCCCCTATCTTTAACAGTAGGAAGGAACTTCGAACGTCCCTTGGCATCCACAAGTAACACACTTAACTGAAATTCAGCGATCCTCATCCAACAGTTTCACTGAATAATAGGCAAACAGCGTTCAGACATGGAGGCATTGTATATTTCACCACAGTCACCAGCTGCAGTCCTTTGCGTGTCTTCGCGCATCAAAAAAGCAAAAGCATTCACTCTCCATTATGACCGGGTCGGAAAATTGCAGACATAGGTAGGCCAGACCCATGGTTCACTATCACGGCGCCACAAACTGCACGACCCGACCGCACACACTCATATGGTCGTAAACTAACGTCCTCAGTCTAGTTCTAACTGCCATGCATCAGTAGGTATTCACGGAAACCCTTGCATCGGGGCCAAAAAGCCTTTGCGAGTCGGACCTCGGACAGCAACCGGGTCGGACCTCAGACGGCAGCCAAACCAGACTGCAGGCGGAGGCTGCCGGCGGCGACTATCCCGCCGCTCAGACGTTGCCCAAGTTGAGAAGGGTGGTCTGGTTCTGCGGCAGATAGATGACGTTCCTGCTCTGCGACATCTGGTAGGCGATGTCCTCGGCAGCTTCGATCCGTCGCAGCTCGATCAGACCGTTACCGGCGCGCGCGAACGCGGCCGAGAGCAGCTCGGCGGCCACCTTGTCTCCTTCGGCCGAGGTGATGGCCGCCCGCTTCTGCTGCTCCGCCTGCACAGCACCAACAACCGGTCAGAGGCCGAACAGGGGTCAACGTTATTGGTGACAGCACTGTGAGGGTTCGCCAATAGGAATTATGTATATGGCGGCAACGGACAAAGGTAATGAGTCAGAGACACATACCTACCTTTATCGACGTAAAACAAAATATGTTATAGGACAAAACCACTTATAAATATAAGTAACTGAAAAGCTATGCAAGGGTTAGGTACTTCTTGCACAGTGTCCCAAAACTATATTTTTGCTTAAGTGTCAGAGGGGAAAATTGCTGACCAAAAAAAGGATGAGAGTGAAAAATTGTCTGTCAGGTAAGGCCCAAAAAGAGTGGGAAAATGATCAAAAACATAAATCTATCTACAACTGTGACAGATGCAAAACAACCATTCACGCAATTGCTCCTTCTCAGTGGAATTGGGAGTGGAAAATTGGGCTTGAAAACTGGAGGTGAGAGTGGAAATAATCTTCATTTGGATGTCGTTTCCCACCCACATCTACAAATTTTGGGACACTGTTCTTGCACGCCAAGACTTGAGGTAACGGTTAGGCAGTAGCTCACGCTTCAACGTACCTTTTCCACCACGAACCGAGCGCGCTCGGCCTCCTGCTGCGCCACCTGCTTCATCTCGACGGCCTGCATGAATTCGCGGCCGAACATCAGGTGCGTGATCGATATGTCGTCCAGCAGCAGGCCGAACTGACGCGCCCGATCGGTCAGTTCCTCGGAGACCGTCTGCGAGACCACCTCGCGCTGCGTGATCATCTCGCTGGCGTCGTAGCGGGCCACCACCGCCTTCAGCACCTCGTTGGTGATGGAGGGCAGCACGCGCTCGTCGTAGTCCTCGCCGAGTGTGGTGTAGATGTTGGGCAGTGCCGTGGCCACCGGCCGGAACAGCACGCGGAGAGTGATGCTGACGTTCTGCAGGTCCTTGCTGCCCGTCACCACGGGCACGTTCCGCGGCCGCGCGCGGATGTCGAACATGATGGGCTTCTGCACCCATGGGATGAAGAAGTGGGTGCCCTCGCCGACGACGGTGTTTTTGATGCCGGAAAACCGGTCAAAGATGACGGCCCGGTGACCGGCGTCCACATTGTAGAGCGCCGAGTTGATGACGCCTCCTGTGATGGCGATACCCAGTCCCAGCTGACCAAGACGCGTCAGAACTTGTGCCATGGTTATCACAATTTGAACTTATCTGAAATGATGAAAAAGTATCATTAGTAACCCCCGCAACAAACCAACACGCATTATATTCTTTCATCAGAAACATAATATTTGATATGTAAACCTCCTGCCTGCAGACTGTGCTAGTGCTGCAATAATGTCACACACACATATGTACAATGTCCCAAAATTTGTTGGTTTGGGTGGGAGATGACACCCAATGGTGAATAATTTTCCACTCTCACTTTTGATTGTCAAAGTGAATTTTCCACTCTCAAATGTTTCTTTGGCATAAATGAGTGGAAAAACCCTAACTCCAGCGATGTAATATTAAACTTCCTTGAGAATCAGTGCCGTTTTCCTCCTTTATTGAGTTAATATCCCACATTTTGTTTCTAATTTTCCACTCATTGGCCTTTTAGGGTTCGAATTTTCCACTCTGACACCCAAGTCAAATTGTAATTTTGGGACACTGCATATGTATGTGTTACCCATGTCAGATTCACACGCTGATATATTCTTTTACGAGCAAACAGTGACGTTTTGTTAATTTTTATTGTACCTGTTTGCACAAACTTGTTTAGCATATTTTTTGGATAATTCAGTATTCACCAAGTCAACGATAAGTAATCGAAGTAGACATCTCAAGAATCAGTACCTAGTCAGTGAGCATTGAGCATTGAACCACTTCACAGCTCAGTGTTACAGCTGCAATTATTGCCTCTATAAAATGTAAATACCAGCTACTGGATTAAAGTGAGCACTAAGACAACTTGGTACATTACAAATTAAGAAGCTGAAAGAAATAGCAGAAATTAAGGAGCATTTAAGAATTTGACTATTCATTTGTTTCATTTCTTCCTTGAAATTAATTCATTTTGGTGTGCCATTCAGTTGTTGATACCAAATTATAATGTTTTGACACAAACCACGATAGGGTATCTCAACATAGGTCATATTCAATCATGAAATAGCACTGTTCAGAGCTAAGTGTTTCAGTGTTATCATATTTGTGTATAATAAACTATTTTGGAAAAATATAAAATGGATTTTGCTTGAATTTCAAGAGCAATGAAAAAGCCATGACCAGTGATAAACAAAGACATTCAACGTTGGCCGACATATAAATAAACTTCAGCATTGGATCTATGATCATAGTGCATCTCAAAGCAAGCTGCAAATCAGAGTTACAATATATAATTCACTTGAATCATATATGGAGGATATGTCTCAGATCCATAAAAACTGCAAAAGATGTGGCAAAAAAAAATCTAGAAGAATTTCCAGGATCTCTATTATCACGTCACATAAAAGTAAATGAGCAATGAACATTACAACACTTAATCCCATAGGCGCGGGAACTGAGGGGGGGAGGGGCGTGGGGCCGCTGCCCCCACGACTTTTTGTAGGGCCAGAAGCCGTTCGTATCCTCCCCAAATTAGAGGATGTGTGTCAAAAAAAAGAAAAATGAATGGTAGAGCACGTTTAACTAAAAAACATCCCTCTTTCCATGTCCGTGAAGTTAGCGTCAGCAACAGCAACGAATACAGCGTCGGATTCAGAATCGCCTAAAAAACTCATAGTAGGTCAATTGGGGGACGGGGAGCAAGAATATGACCTTTATTTGGCCCTAGCTCTTACCCCTTACCCCTTAATCGGCCCTTAAAGGACGGGGCGCGTCAAAAGTGCCTCAAGGGTTCGTCTGATCGCCAAAATAAGGGTCGCAATCGATTCCCCGGGTTAATATCTAGCCGCAGCCTCGGGTTCCAGATGTGTGCAACTTACCCCTTACCCCTTAATCGGCCCTTAAAGGAAGGGGCGCGTCAAAAATGCCTCAAGGGTTCGTCTGATCGCCAAAATAAGGGTCGCAATCGATTCCTCGGGTCAATATCTAGCCGCAGCCTCGGGTTCCAGATGTGTGCAACTTACCCCTTACCCCTTAATCGGCCCTTAAAGGACGGGGCGCGTCAAAAGAGCCTCAAGGGTTCGTCTGATCGCCAAAATAAGGGTCGCAATCGATTCCTCGGGTCAATATCTAGCCGCAGCCTCGGGTTCCAGATGTGTGCAACTTACCCCTTACCCCTAAATCGGCCCTTAAAGGACGGGGCGCGTCAAAAGTGCCTCAAGGGTTCGTCTGATCGCCAAAATAAGGGTCGCAATCGATTCCCCGGGTTAATATCTAGCCGCAGCCTCGGGTTCCAGATGTGTGCAACTTACCCCTTACCCCTTAATCGGCCCTTAAAGGAAGGGGCGCGTCAAAAATGCCTCAAGGGTTCATCTGATCGCCAAAATAAGGGTCGCACACGATTCCTCGGGTCAATATCTAGCCGCAGCCTCGGGTTCCAGATGTGTGCAACTTACCCCTTACCCCTTAATCGGCCCTTAAAGGAAGGGGCGCGTCAAAACTGCCTCAAGGGTTCGTCTGATCGCCAAAATAAGGGTCGCAATCGATTCCTCGGGTCAATATCTAGCCGCAGCCTCGGGTTCCAGATGTGTGCAACTTACCCCTTACCCCTTAATCGGCCCTTAAAGGAAGGGGCGCGTCAAAAGTGCCTCAAGGGTTCGTCTGATCGCCAAAATAAGGGTCGCAATCGATTCCTCTGGTCAATATCTAGCCGCAGCCTTGGGTTCCAGATGTGTGCAACTTACCCCTTACCCCTTAATCGGCCCTTAAAGGAAGGGGCGCGTCAAAAGTGCCTCAAGGGTTCGTCTGATCCCCTAAATAAGGGTCGCAATCGATTCCTCGGGTCAATATCTAGCCGCAGCCTCGGGTTCCAGATGTGTGCAACTTACCCCTTACCCCTTAATCGGCCCTTAAAGGACGGGGTGCGTCAAAAGTGCCTCAAGGGTTCGTCTGATCGCCAAAATAAGGGTCGCAATCGATTCCCCGGGTCAATATCTAGCCGCAGCCTCGGGTTCCAGATGTGTGCAACTTACCCCTTACCCCCTAATCGGCCCTTAAAGGACGGGGCGCGTCAAAAGTGCCTCAAGGGTTCGTCTGATCGCCAAAATAAGGGTCGCAATCGATTCCCCGGGTCAATATCTAGCCGCAGCCTCGGGTTCCAGATGTTTGCAACTTACCCCTTACCCCTAAATCGGCCCTTAAAGGACGGGGCGCGTCAAAAGTGCCTCAAGGGTTCGTCTGATCGCCAAAGTAAGGGTCGCAATCGATTCCCCGGGTCAAAGGAATCGATTGCGACCCTTATTTTGGCGATCAGACGAACCCTTGAGGCATTTTTGACTCGCCCCTTCCTTTAAGGGCCGATTAAGGGGTAAGGGGTAAGTTGCACATATCTGGAACCCGAGGCTGCGGCTAGATATTAACCCGGGGAATCGATTGCGACCCTTATTTTGGCGATCAGACGAACCCTTGAGGCTCTTTTGACGCGCCCCGTCCTTTAAGGGCCGATTAAGGGGTAAGGGGTAAGTTGCACACATCTGGAACCCGAGGCTGCGGCTAGATATTGACCCGAGATATCGATTGCGACCCTTATTTTGGCGATCAGACGAACCCTTGAGGCACTTTTGACGCGCCCCTTCCTTTAAGGGCCGATTAAGGGGTAAGGGGTAAGTTGCACACATCTGGAACCCGAGGCTGCGGCTAGATATTGACCCGAGGAATCGATTGCGACCCTTATTTTGGCGATCAGACGAACCCTTGAGGCAGTTTTGACACGCCCCTTCCTTTAAGGGCCGATTAAGGGGTAAGGGGTAAGTTGCACACATCTGGAACCCGAGGCTGCGGCTAGATATTGACCCGAGGAATCGATTGCGACCCTTATTTTGGCGATCAGACGAACCCTTGAGGCACTTTTGACGCGCCCCTTCCTTTAGGGGCCGATTAAGGGGTAAGGGGTAAGTTGCACACATCTGGAACCCGAGGCTGCGGCTAGATATTGACCCGGGAAATCGATTGCGACCCTTATTTTGGCGATCAGACGAACCCTTGAGGCACTTTTGACGCGCCCCGTCCTTTAAGGGCCGATTAAGGGGTAAGGGGTAAGTTGCACACATCTGGAACCCGAGGCTGCGGCTAGATATTAACCCGGGGAATCGATTGCGACCCTTATTTTGGCGATCAGACGAACCCTTGAGGCACTTTTGACGCGCCCCGTCCTTTAAGGGCCGATTTAGGGGTAAGGGGTAAGTTGCACACATCTGGAACCCGAGGCTGCGGCTAGATATTGACCCGGGGAATCGATTGCGACCCTTATTTTGGCGATCAGACGAACCCTTGAGGCACTTTTGACGCGCCCCGTCCTTTAAGGGCCGATTAAGGGGTAAGGGGTAAGTTGCACACATCTGGAACCCGAGGCTGCGGCTAGATATTGACCCGGGGAAGCGATTGCGACCCTTATTTTGGCGATCAGACGAACCCTTGAGGCACTTTTGACGCGCCCCGTCCTTTAAGGGCCGATTAAGGGGTAAGGGGTAAGTTGCACACATTTGGAACCCGAGGCTGCGGCTAGATATTGACCCGGGGAATCGATTGCGACCCTTATTTTGGCGATCAGACGAACCCTTCAGGCACTTTTGACGCGCCCCGTCCTTTAAGGGCCGATTTAGGGGTAAGGGGTAAGTTGCAAACATCTGGAACCCGAGGCTGCGGCTAGATATTGACCCGGGGAATCGATTGCGACCCTTATTTTGGCGATCAGACGAACCCTTGAGGCACTTTAGACGCGCCCCGTCCTTTAAGGGCCGATTAGGGGGTAAGGGGTAAGTTGCACACATCTGGAACCCGAGGCTGCGGCTAGATATTGACCCGGGGAATCGATTGCGACCCTTATTTTGGCGATCAGACGAACCCTTGAGGCACTTTTGACGCGCCCCGTCCTTTAAGGGCCGATTAAGGGGTAAGGGGTAAGTTGCACACATCTGGAACCCGAGGCTGCGGCTAGATATTGACCCGAGGAATCGATTGCGACCCTTATTTTGGCGATCAGACGAACCCTTGAGGCACTTTTGACGCACCCCGTCCTTTAAGGGCCGATTAAGGGGTAAGGGGTAAGTTGCACACATCTGGAACCCGAGGCTGCGGCTAGATATTGACCCGAGGAATCGATTGCGACCCTTATTTTGGCGATCAGACGAACCCTTGAGGCACTTTTGACGCGCCCCTTCCTTTAAGGGCCGATTAAGGGGTAAGGGGTAAGTTGCACACATCTGGAACCCGAGGCTGCGGCTAGATATTGACCCGAGGAATCGATTGCGATCCTTATTTTGACGATCAGACGAACCCTTGAGGCACTTTTGACGCGCCTCTTCCTTTAAGGGCCGATTAAGGGGTAAGGGGTAAGTTGCACACATCTGGAACCCGAGGCTGCGGCTAGATATTGACCCGAGGAATCGATTGCGACCCTTATTTTGGCGATCAGACGAACCCTTGAGGCAGTTTTGACGCGCCCCTTCCTTTAAGGGCCGATTAAGGGGTAAGGGGTAAGTTGCACACATCTGGAACCCGAGGCTGCGGCTAGATATTGACCCGAGGAATCGATTGCTACCCTTATTTTGGCGATCAGACGAACCCTTGAGGCATTTTTGACGCGCCCCTTCCTTTAAGGGCCGATTAAGGGGTAAGGGGTAAGTTGCACACATCTGGAACCCGAGGCTGCGGCTAGATATTAACCCGGGGAATCGATTGCGACCCTTATTTTGGCGATCAGACGAACCCTTGAGGCACTTTTGACGCGCCCCGTCCTTTAAGGGCCGATTAAGGGGTAAGGGGTAAGAGCTAGGGCCAAATAAAGGTCATATTCTTGCTCCCCGTCCCCCAATTGACCTACTATGAGTTTTTTAGGCGATTCTGAATCCGACGCTGTATTCGTTGCTGTTGCTGACGCTAACTTCACGGACATCCTCTTTCCCTGGTTCGACAGCTCACTGGACAAGTTTTAAGCTTTATACCATATTACCAAAAAAGGTATTTCCTTGACTCAGCTGAGACGAAATACCTCACTTTTTGCAGATGTTCTCGTTCTGTTCGTTTCGTTTAAAAGGCCAAGGGGTGAAAAATAAGTGACCTAAAACTGGTGGGAAAACGGTAACGGTGGGGCAGGCGTCACCAATAGCTTTCTGTAGTAAACAAACAAGGTTCAAGCATTATTAGGGCCCGAACGCATATAACATTTACGCGAGATTACCCACAATGCTCGGACACGTTGATGACGTCACTGGTGGCTAAAATAATTGGTATGCGTGTCCGGACAAAATTTCGTCTGACATTTTTTCGTCGGACAGTTTTTCGTCCGCAGATATTCGTCCGACTTTTTTTCGTCTCGCATTTTTTCGTCTGTACATTTTTTCGTCTGTGCATTTTTTCGTCTGTACATTTTTTCGTCTGTACATTTTTTCGTCCGGACATTTTTTCGTTCGTATATTTTTTCGTCTGTACATATTTTCGTCCGGACATTTTTTCGTTCCATAA